TATTTAACAAAAAAGGAGAAATGTCACCCTACTTGTTACATTCACTGATCACTTCAACAGTTGCATGCAACTCTGCAGCCAAGGACTGCTCAGGGATCCATGTTTCAGGGAAAGAAAAATTCTTGAGATTCATGTGTGACAACGGTAACAAAATACTACCAACAGGCTATTTCTAAGAAAACACTGAAAAAAATATATGTTTTTTTTGCCAAAACAATTGCAAAATTTTATCATTAATTAAAAATGTTTAGACTTTTCAAAGGCAAGCTTTAGCTGATGGCCCCTATGTCTATTAGTGTAAATTTGTCTTACAGCTATGAATTGTGCTTTTAGTATATTCTGTCAATACCTCATTTCTATCTTGAGTATAATGTTTTTCATCATTACGCATCACCTTGTTACAATTTTGATAGACACTAGATCAATTTTGTTCTATGCCAAATTCTGTTGTGTTCTGCCAAAGTCACTGGCTATCAGGAAGTGCTTGCAGTGCGCAGCAGTTTATTGAAGTAAAATAGGTAAAGAGGTAGCTCAAGGGTAGTGGGACTTTGTAAGTCTGAAATGATTGGAAGAATGGTTCTGGAAATCCTCAAAAAAGGGTTTTGACATAGGAGCCATCGAGGTAGACACCTAAAGGATAAAGGAAAATAACTTATTCACAATCTAATGGTTTCAGTTACTACATACAGCACCATATTGTTAACAATAAAGTTTTAATTTAATGATTTAACTGCATTTAGTTAATACAAATGCAGTACTTCCCTCTTTTCTTCCTATCARATATGCTGCAATAAAAATCTAAAAATTCTGAAGTAGTCTGCTTGTTTCCTTATTTTTTACTGCTGTATACTTAGAGAACTATTTCTTCCAGTTGCCTCAGATCCTTCCGAGAAAGCAAAAGTTTGCAATAGTGTACTATTTTTCCAATTTTTTCACTAGAATTACTTTCATGAATATTTTGGAAGACCAACTTTAAAGATGCAGATACTTTAAACATGATTTAAGGGCTGTCTCCAAATGCATTAGAGCAGAATAACGTTTTATACTATAAATTCATCCTACCAGTCCTGCAAAAGTTTTAGCAAAACCTCATCTGCCATGTTCATGRTCGCTTGAGTGCAAAAGTTTCATTACAAGACCATGAAAGACTCAGAGCTGCAGTAATGCAATTCCCTGCCTTTCAAAAGCTAAATACAAAAGAGCTAGACATCTTGGATTTGATGATCCTTGTGGATCCCTTCCAACCCAGCACATTCTACAATTCTGTGAACTTAGTTCTGAACTAACATCTTCAAGAGCATACACTCATCCTAACCGTGGCAGCAGAAAACTGAGCCAGACAAAGGCCTTACWCTGTAGGGTAGCAGGAAAATAGATATGGCAAAAAAATACACAGATGGGAGTCAGGATATTCACCTAGGAATAGGGCTCTGGGAGAGAACCTGTAGCTGCTGCTCAGTGCAGCTCAATGACTACACTGAAAAATTCTTTCAAGGACCATATTCCAAAGCTTTTCAGGCTGCCCAGAAACCTCCAATTTCCCAGCAATTATTTAGACTCTTGTCCTCTTCTGTTTACAGAGTAGAGACAGGATCAATCTTTCCTTTCTAYGGCATGAATTCTGCTACTTCTGTGGGAAGAGACTAAAAAAGCTCAAAAGAGACAGTAGTGGGTGGAGTGCTTCTGTTTTCAGTCTGTTGTACAACAGCACCATCCAGCTGTCAAACAAAAAAATTATCAAGCATTAATGCTACTGTCCAGATTTGGTCCTTATACCACAAACAAAATTAATAATTATACCTATGAAAAAAAGCCAAAACCAAAACCCCAAACCACAGGTCCCTCCCCTGCTTCTTAATTAATTATTGATCCACTGTGTTATTCTTTCTGCGTTAGTATAAGGGAAACTAAAGGAAACTTTAGGGAAATGAAGAAGTCAGCCCAGTTTATTTCTGTCCAGTAAGAATGGCAGGCAATAGCCTCCGTGTTTCAGTGAAATGTGGAAAATAAACTCTCAGGTATGAGGAMAAGACCATTATCTTTGGTTTACAACCAAAGACAGTTAACCACACTACAAAAATTAATGGAAAAATCTCAACTCACAGGAGCCTACCCCTTAGCCATCACAATTTATGRCTCTTGAGCTTCAGTAATGAAAGCAAGAACAACCTCCATGGAGGGAGAAAAATGATCAAAACTCATACTCAAGCAATAGATCACTCTTGAGAAACCTTATGACACAAGGAAGAAAACTTCTTGCTCTCCCAAGATTTTTCATGAACTTGTGTTACTTAACTATAAGGCATATGCARTGGAGATAAATGGCATTCCCTACAATACATGATTGATTACCTCAATTAAATATACAAAATCACCACTTAAATTGCCCTCATTTCTATGCTAAACTCATTTTTGTGATAACATCCACAGGAAGCTTACTGTGTGTGCCCACTGATGATCAGGAGGTCTAATGTTAGACTGCTGTTCCTGCATACCTTAGCCCATCCTGTGATCCCACATTGCTCCATTGATACCAGAAAGCATTAATTCATCTCCTCCTCTGACTTTCTGAAGACCAGTACCAGTTCTTCACACTTTACAAAGCAGCACAGGGTACCCATCGAAGCCTAAAGACAGGCCAATCACCCTTTAAAAGAAAACAACACTAGTGGAAACTTCCCAAGTAAATATTATCAGGAAAAGAAAAATTGTAAGTCTAACAGTTAACCTAGGATCATTTCTACATGTAGACAAAACCCAAAAGGAAAATCTAGGATAAAGGAGATGACTTTAAGGAACTTGAGCTTGAGATGACTTTAAGGAACTTGAGCTTATGCAAAGAAGAATCAGTATAACCACATCCAGAAGAGATTGTTTTTCTTGCATATAATTAGAATATACTGTAGATTTTAACGTAAGTCCAGAGTTAAAGAGCACAGCAACAGAAAAACAGCGGCACTAGAAAAGGAGCTAAAGCCATAGGAGCAAAGAACATGCCCAAAGAGACAACAGAGGTGCCAAATGACAAACCTGTGCCAAGTAGGAGARAAGGTGCCCTTAGACAGGCACGACAGCAAAGCCAGAAGAGTCTGAAGAGACATAGCCCCAAGGAAAATGACAATAGCTCCCCCAAATCTGCAGATGATCAAGAAGATCAAAGAGAAGAATGGCCAATGAAGGAGGATTATGGCTAAGGTTAACAAGTTCTCTCACTATGACAGAGAGAATAGAGAACACCTTCAAAAGGAGCTGTATTAGAAAGTCCTTGCAAGACTATGTCATGAGATCAAAGACAGAACAAAGGTACTAGACCTTTGGTAGASCAAAATGGTAAAATCAGTCAAAAAAGAATTAGTGCCAAATGGGTAAAAAACCTCCAAAAACCGGTATGCAGGAGGGTATTAAAGGGTGGCAAGGAGGTGGCAGAAAAGAGCAAGCYCTTGAATTTACAATTAAAATATTCTCAGTTCCACACATGGGGGAACAAAAACAATCAACAACAAAAACCACAAAAATCCCAATCCAAACAAAGACAACAAAAAACAAAAAAAAAAAAACCAATTACAAAATCAGCAAAGTATCAAAGTTTGCACTTTAAGCGAAGAGAAAGCARTTTGAAATAAAGAATCTGATGATCTTGATTGAAGAAAGTACATTTTCCTTGCCAGGAACTGACAAGAGAACTTGTGACATGCTTGGAGGCTGCACAGTTATGCTTGGAGAATTGCATACTCAAAAGGCATAGAGTTACACACTCATTCCAACAACAGAAAGGATAGGATCAACCCATTTTAAAACTCACATGTGGATGGAGAACAGAAAGGAGGAACGAAAGCAGATTTTGTGTTGTTAGTAGTCAGCTCAAAAAAAGGGAGAAGGCAGAAACAGCACAAAAATCACACACCTATAGAAACAGGCCTACAGTGGAAAGAAACAAGACAAGCCAGACAGGAGAAACAGAAAGCYGTGAAGTCTTTCCAAAACAGTCTAAATAGAGAGATAACACTTTTACACTATCCTTCATGAGGTCAGCCAGAGTTCTGCTAAGTTGATCCCAGTAAGTACTAAAGGATTTCACATGGAACCTGAGCTCATGACAGTRGTTTTTCTGTTTTATCACAGGATGCAAGCTTTTAAGCCAGGACACCAACAGGCAAAAACCACTGTTTTTTTACTAGAAAGCAACCTGTTTACACATATTAGTTGTTCTATTTAGCTAAGGAATCAGCCTTATTTAAGATTCRAGTACCTGTTTAAACTGAGCTTTGTAGTCTTGTATGAGTAAGCATTTCCAAACCCAGGGTTTCAGCTGTCCAGAGTCTTAGATAGATGTACTATAGTTAAACCTGCCATGTCACTCAGAGGATATGTTTACATGTCTGCAAGTCCCCCCGCCTCGCCTGCCAGCCACTAAGGTATCTATTTACTATCAGCAGAAGCTACTATTCAGCTATTCAGCTCAGACTTGAGGAGTTCAATTTTAGCTTCACCAGCCTCTCTAACCTTCTAATAAGCAAAGCTTGCAGATCTGATTTACTGCAAGCTCCTGCTGTAACTGACAAGTGCAGTGACAGACCTAATGACAAGCTTCCTGGATTCAGGACTTCAGTTCATGAACAGTCTTCTTTGAACTGGGAACACAGAATACAACATATGWGAAAACTGTGCAAAGATGACACATGGTAAATCCATACTATTGAGCACAACAGCTGAATCTAAGAAACATGGTGCTTGTACGAGCTTCTCAACCTGCTCCAGCAGTCTTGGAACTTAGAACCACACTACAATGCCCAACAGGCCCCTCTTTTCAAACAGACTTTCTGCAAGTCCCATTAATTTTATATTTAGAATTTCACATCCAGATCGTTTCTACTTCCAAAAGTTTCTACACGTAAGTTGCATTGACACCCATGTCTTCCAATAAAGAGGCCAAGTTCCCTCTTTATTGACAGGAAGTATGAATAAACCCAGGAAGTTTCTATCCTAGAAAGCTCACACACTTTGAAGTTTAAGATCTTATTTTAATCCAAAATATGGCAACTGTAAAATCCAGTTCATAAAATGGTAACTTGCTGCTGCCAAGTCTTCTTATGCACAGTGATAGCAGTCAATCAATTAAAGTTTCTGGTCAGTAGGGCTTCCCCATTGATTCCAAGATTTTCTTTCTCTCTTCTGCTGGGGGCATCTCTGGTTTCACACCATTTCTCTTCCTTTGCATCATAATTCCATGCTGGAAACAGAACAAAGGGACCATGAGAACAGATTTCTCAGAATCTCTGCTCCTGAGCTCTGAATGAACTACCTTTTAAYAGAAAAATGCTTTCTATATCAACACCCAGGTACTCTAAAGTCCAATTAGCTGGTAAGTAAATGTTACTAGTATTTAGTCGAAGATATCTGATAGTTTACCTTGCTGCTTCAGAACAGAGTGCAATGAGTATTCCCATTACACTACATCAGACTAGTGCACAATTGTCTGTAAATAGTTTTTTTATAATATTTAAAGGCTAAAACCTCTTTACYATGCTGGCATAAGGAAACAGCAGAAAACAGTTTAACTGCACATAGTTCCTCATGATACTTCTTTATCACCAAATAAGACTGAATTCTTCCTAAGCTTCATATTAAGTTATTATTAAGTAGACATTATCCAAGCCAGTGGGAAACCAGATAACCTTACCTTGCCTTTAGAACTTTTTCATTGCATCAATTTAAAAGAGAACTTATTACTAGAAATATCCCACTCAAATTCAGAGGAAAACATCAGKTACTGCAAGAACACTGACTCACGGACTGAGAGAGTAAACTCAGAAAAATCAAGTGACATACTTTGATGTGCATGTGCTTAAGTCTTCCAGCAACACATACTGAGACCACCCGGGCTAGTAAGTTACCATAACAGGGGCAAGTTTGAAGGTTTGAGAAAGCAGCATATCAGAAGTAATGTACATAGAGCAAAGCAGAGAGTAAAATTAAGAAAGTCTACTGTGCTTACCCAGAATTTTCTGCAGTTTTTGTACTTCAAAAAATAATCTGTACACATATCCTTGTTATAGTTGTTGTCATTCAAACATTTTGTAGTGGCATCTGTTTCCTTTAATAGGGGAAAAGATACTTCAGAGCTGAGGGAAGTTACTGTATTCAGTACTTAAATATTTTAACAAGTCCCAGAATATCTATGAAGATAGGAGCTCTTCAGATGAAAGAATATTATCGAAGAGAGCAAAGGAACACCTATTACAAAGGATAATCAGTGCTTCCAARCAGTGATTTCATTTGGAGATAACAGAGAATAGTACTCTTTAGACAGTTAAGTATAGAGTCCACAGAATAGTTGTTTACAAYGATGCTTGGTATAACTCACAAAGACTTCTAAAAAATAACCAAGCTTGCCTAACCAGGATTTCAGGCTCTGGTTTCAGGGACAGAAAATTTAASAGATTGTTATCAGCTGTATTACTCCTATTTATGGGGATTTATTGTTATTTCTACTTATTATAATGGATGATTTTCAGCCCTTCCCATCTTCAGACTCTTAAGAAACTTTTAATGCAAAGTGCTATAATGCAAGTGTGCTATCCACAAAACAGTCCCCCAGAAGGTGAAWTATTTTACATTGAAATGTACAAACAGATCTCAATTTGATCATCTTACCGCTACACATGGATTTATATCGTGATCTCTAAGCTTTTTTGCATGCCTGGACATTCTAGACAGACACTCGTACCTTGGCTAGAAAAGGAAAAAAAAACAGGATAAGTATCTACTTTTAACAGTAACTCCGGATTAAGTCTGAACTTCAGGATGTAATAAAGGCCTTCTAGTAACACACAGTTTTTTTATCTTTGAGAAAATCAAACATCTTTTGCAAAGTGTTATTTCAAAAGCAGCAACAGCAAGACTGTTTAGAAGTTTAGCCCATCACCAAGACTGCTTACTCCCTGATGAATTCCTGGAGAGAATGGARTCACTGCAGCAGCTCTCACTCCAGCCTGTGCATCATGGGGGAAGTGACCATGTGGAGGAGAAACAGCTCCATAGAAGCTCTTCACAGCCAACACACTGTAGACACTTCAATTAATAGTGTGTGGGAGGAATGCACAAGTAAACTTTTCCAGATTTGTTCCTGCTCCTTAGCTGGATCACATCTGTATCTTCACTGAGCTTTCCCAGGTACAACAAGTGTCCAACAATCTCCTGTGTTGCTGTATCAAATATTTAACAGAAAAAGCACTGGTTTCACCGCAAGGTGGGACCAGACCCACTTACACTGTGTATGACAGCTTGAATCACATTTTTTATCATTTAGTAGTTTGACACTGACTCTAGGAACTAAGCTTGAGAGACACAGAGTTCAGTGCCAAGAATCTCCACTRATCCAAGATGATGACATCAAGATGAACAGCAGATCCTCTTTSCTTTTACAACTCCCTATACACTGCCTCCAGCTCACATATGGCGATGCAGGTATTTGTTCCAAACAAATACTAAATCTAACCAAAAATACATCAATGTTGACCAGATGACTGCTTGAAGCAATGCAATCAGAAACACAGAACAAAGGGAGTAAATAAAAGGACTGCTGATGGAGGAAACTGAGCTTAATCTTGTTTTCTATTTTCCAAAAAAAAACATTAATGTTAATTCTTAACTAAGACCTGTTTCTGTTCACATTGGGGAAYGATAACTGCAAGTCTGCAGTAAAAAGTCCATTTTGCTTGATACCAGATTAAATTAAAAAATCAAATACTGCCCYTCGTAGTTTTTAGAAAACCATGTTTTAGAAGGGATTTCTTCTTTGGGTATGAGTAAGCTATTCCCAGCAAACAAGCCTTAGGTTTTACAACTGTGCATGTATACTTTCCTGCTGCTTGGAATGTTCTTTGCTTTCTGCATGTCATCTCCTGCAAGTGGGCCTTTTAATAAACAGCATCAGGAAACGCTCTCACTTTCCTTTGAGAACTAGCCAGTGCTTAAGGTAATTTCACAAGCTAGGCAAATGTTACCTTTTTTGGTGGGTGGAAGCGCATTTTTGATGAGGCACTTCAAATGGAAACACAAGCCAGTACACTAACATCATCCCAGACTTCCAGAAAGGAGGAGGGAGGGGAAAAGTAGGAWGCAAAAGCACCTTACCACAATGCCTCACCTAAGCACCTACGACAGAGACAAGATTTTTAGATGTTTGCGCTTGTGTCTGTGTTARAACTCTGCATTTCACATTACCACCGAAACAGACATGCCTCAAGTCTTAGTTTGACTTCAGACTTACTCTCTGAAAAAAATACTTGTGAGTCATAGGATGTGCCATCATAATCAGTATTCCTCATACAAACTGCACTTGACACTTTCCGTTTGATTACACCACCAGAGTCTGCAACCGTGCTCGGTCTAAGGAGCAAGGCACACCAATCCATTAAACACCTACTTAACGAACAGGCAGTTTAGGTCCTAATGAAGATGCATAGCTCAGAGCACGCAAATGCTGAAACATTCTTAGTACTACCCAAAAGGTCTGCTAGCTCCCGCGCGTGTTCCTCTCTCCCCCTCTCCCAAGTACTTCAGGATTTGAAACATTATCAGCTGGAAGGGCAGGCGGGTCACGCCAAAATGCTGCTGGGTGGTTGAATGAGCAGTTGGGCAGGAAGCRAGCTTCCCCCTCCTCCCAGGTTTTGCACATGCACGGGCTTCCCTTCCTGCTTTCAGATTACAGGTCAGAGCCCAGCCACAACCAAAGGCTTGTCTATTGCACAGTTCTTAATTATGCTTTAACACATTAACAGTTGTAAACTGTACCACAGAGAACCAGGGCTGTTGCTGGCACTCTTTAACCCTAGGGCTTTTTCAGTTCATAAACCATCAGGGCACTTTTCTACAGGCTCCCTCCCATTGAAAAGCGTTTGGTTTGCTTTAAATGTACACATATAGATACAAATTCGCTAATTATGCTGCAATGCAGACCRGCTTATTAAAACTTTGAACCCCGGAGCCAAGGCCGTACTAAAAATCCTGCGGCTTTTATCGCTGTTACGGTGGAGGAGGCCGGGAGGAGGCAGCCGGCGGGCCCGGGCGCCCAGCACCGCGGAGCTGCCGCATTGCTCGACCCAGCTTCCCGAGGAGGGCCGGGGGCCGTCCAGGTGCGGAGGCGAGGCCGGCGCCCCCCGCCCGGCCGCTGCCTTCCCCCGCCGGCGGCGGCGGAGCGGCCGGAGGCTCCCGGCGACCCCTTCCCCCGCCCCGGGTCGTTCCCCGCGGCCGCGGCCGCTGCCGCCGCCTCCCCTCGGCACCACCTGCCGCCAGGGAGCGGTGCCCGGGCCGCGCCGCCGCCGGGCCYGAGCGGGGCTGCCCCGGCCCGCGGGCGGCCAAGGGCGAGCGACACTTCCCGCGCCGGCCGGGAAGGGGAAGCGGCGGGCGGGCTCGGCCCGGGTCGCCGCCGGCGGCACTCACCTCCGTCCCCGGCCGTGTCCGCGGGAGCCCGGGGCGGGAGGGGGGCAGCCCGTCTCCAATTCGAAAGACGTCAGTGGCTCGGGCAGCGCGCTTAAGTACGGGCGCAGCCTACCCCGCTCCCGGCCCCGCGGCTCCCCCCGGCCCCGCGCCGCCGCCGCCCAC